GGCACGTGGATGTGCTGGCCTGGAAGACGCACACGACGACACTCGTGTCTCGTCCGGCACGCCCATGTCCGTGGGCATGAGGAAAGCGTGCTTCGCGACTTCGAAGGAGGTGGCAGCCTGCCTTTTCCGGACGGAGGAAAGCGTGCTTTGCGACCTCGAAGCAGGTGGCAGCCTGCATTTTCCGGACGGCGTTCTGCATGAAGGCTCCATGTCGATGGGCCAAGTGGGTCGGAATCTCCGCGGTGCTGGATGGCACGTCGATCTGGGTGCTGGCTCCGCGTTGGATGACACGTCGATCTGGGTGTCGGCCAGGCCGAGCGCACTTCTTCCAGCGAAGAGTTGAAGCAGCTCAGGGAAGGCCAGATCGATGGCTGTGTCCTGGACACGGCCTACCAAGCACTTTGCACGCAGGACGGCATATCTCCTGGCCAGCAGAACGACGGTGACCAAGGTCATGTTGGACAGACCGCGGCAAGTGCGCACGAATAACCGCGGCACTTGAAAGCATCTCCCCTGCAGACGGAGTTTCGCCCATAGGAAAGGGCACCTGAATCCCAGGACGCCTAAAACCGAACCTCAATGGCAGAAAAGTCACGCACATCAAGTGCACACCTAGGCACCATGACTGTACCGCTGGTGTCCTGTGCGATCTCGAAATCGTAACTAACTAAAACGCAGTTTGCCACTATAACGGAATGACACAGAGCAGTGGGGTAAATCCACAACCCGTGCCGAAGTCAATTCGCCGTTGACCTGTGCAAGTGGCCGGAAGGCTGTCAGCGGCAAACACCTCATCAAAACTATAAGCCTCGTGCAGGGGATGCTTTTCACAGGGGGACACAGCTGCTACAGTCTGTGAGGATATTTCGGTTCGAGTCCTGCAAACAGCCGTGGCTGCTGTCGATGCTATCCGCTGCTGATTCCTGCAGGCCCAAAATCTCACCATGTGTGGCCACCTTGAGCCAAAATGCCTACGGGGTTTCGGCTTGGGGGTTTTAGTTAGGGTTTGGGGTATACTGACAAGTCCCACTGCACCCCCAATTGCTAGACCTCCTCCGCCCTGCGCCCTTGCTACTCTAATGAAGACCGACTCGGAAAAACGCCTTGAGGTACACGGCGATCTGGATCACGGGGCTGCTTTCGGCTTTGGGGAAGCCCTGAGTCAAGGCAGCCCGCGGGTTAAGGACTTACATGCCGGGCTTCAGTTTGGGGGCCTTTGGGGTCGTTTGGCTCCGTTCCAAGATACTAGGCAGTCGATAGCCATCAGTCTCAAAAGAGCGAATCTTCACAGGATCCTGCGCAATAACATCCTACACATCATGAAAACTCCACGGTGTGCCGTGCCTTGCCCTCCGGGTTGTAACACCTGATGTCGGCAGCTTTAGGAAGGTCGCGTGCGGTTTGCGATGTAAAGGTCGAGCGCTCCAGAACCAAGATGACCGTGCTACCGACCCAGCAACCTAATCGCTGCACAGAGGATCCATGAAGTGGCGTAGACACCTAAATCCTTAAAGCCTCAAGGCCAGGCCTCATTTCTAAAATACAAAGGTTTCTGTCCGGGTTCGAGGCTAAAGGTCTGTTGACTTAGGGCAATGAAAAAGTGGTTTGGAGCTTTCTGGCTCGGTAGCGGGCCTGGCTGCTAGGGGAATAGTATACTTCAGTGTATTCTAGTATATAATACTGTGGCATATTATGGCATATTGTCGTATATTGTAGCATATTGTGCGAGCGCGCATGTGCTTGTTGGTGCGAGCTACGGCGGCACAGTTGTTGACAACACCCTCCAAGGCCTAAGCCCTGAACCGTACTGGGGCCAGGAATCCAAAGCTCAGTTGTTCCCCATGCCAACGTGAAAACTACCGCTTCGACAACTAAGGTTGGAAAACACCTGGAGTGAATGGACTGGTTTCCCACAACTTGGTCCAGCAATTAGGATGCCAGGCTTGTCCCTCGAGACTGATGGTCATGTCGGCTCGGTATTTGCAGTATCATTACAGCCATGTTGATCGTCTTGTGCTGTCGCAGTGGGCTTCCGCAGAATCGGCATTGGGCTTGCCAGGCTTGCTGTCGATGGACCTAACACGCTAGTTCGGATGGAGTGTAGACCCGATCTGCTCATGCTGACTTGCACGGCTGACTACTATAATATACTACATACTGTAATAGAACTAATGGGATATACTACAACATATTAGGCTTATATATACTATACCTACCGAACTCGAAATCCTTGTGCCGATCACTGTGCCAACTTGGGCCGGCGCTCGATGTCGAAGGACAGAATTCGCAAGGGCGCAATGTGAAGCTTCTCCTGTACGCAGAGCTCGGAAGCTTCGGGCACCGAGGTGTCACCGGTTTCGGGGTTCGGGTTTTGGGTTCCGCTGCTTGGGAATCGGTTAGGGCAGTTAGGGTTGAAAGCTTAGCTGCAGTTTAGGTGGTCGGGCCCCAGACTCGTCAGATGTCAGTTCAGCCTTGGTGCCTTAGTGTTTACAGTATGGTTTAGGTGTAGACTGTGGATACTGTGGTTTGGCGCTCAAGGCTTGACATTCCGGGCACGCCTTGTCATGCAAATCTTTTCACTCCCCACCGACGACTCAGAGGCTGCAAAGAAGCTAACTTCATCGGCATCCACGGACCAATGAGACTTCAGCAACAAAACCTCAAAAAGTTGCAAGCCCGTAACAGTGTGTACGTGCATGTGCACATATCTACCTGTCTGTATATTTATCTATCGATCTACCTATCTGTCTATCGATCGATCTATCTATCTATATCCGTCTATCTACCATTGAATTAGCTACCTATACATACATATAATTGCGTATATAATCTATATACACAATACATTCGCTTAAAGATTGGTATTCAAAAGTAGAGGCGGCGAGATATATGGACAAAGCGAGACAGAGAGAGAGAGAGAGAAGGAGACAGAGCGGGCGGGCGTGTGTGTGTGTGTGTGTGTCGGGATGTGTGTGGGTGTGTGGCGGGCGTGTGTGTGTGTGTGTGTCAGGATGTGTGTGGGTGTGTGTGTGTGTGTGTGTCTGTTTGTGTTTGTTTGTGTGTCTGTTTGTGTGTGTGTGTGTTTGTTTGTTTGTTTGTGTCTGTGTTTGTGTTTGTGCGTGTGCATCAGTCAGTTAGTCTCCTGCTGTTCTCCGTCTGTCTGCCTGCGAATACTTGTAATCATTCAAGGTTCAGGGGCCTGTGGCATCAGCTTGGAGTAATGCATGTCGATTTCGATCTGACAGGTGCTCACGCAGTCGATGCCTCAACGCGAGGGGCTCTTGAGAGCATTACACCGAAATTACGTGTTCTGTGTTCGCTTTTGCGGGTCCTGTTACCCGTTCTACGGCTACGACTATTTCTGCGACAACAGACGACACTACGACGACGACTACTCTTATGATACTACAACTCACCCTGAGTCGGCAAAGATCTGGCTTTTCTTGTGCAGGGCTTCATCCTGCATCATGACAACATATTGAAAGAAGCAAACGAGTCTACATACGGTTTCATATATATATATATATATAGTGTTTAGGGTTTCAGATGATGGCAAAATGGGCGAGGGATGGCGAGGTTTACGGCATCTTTTGCTACGAGTCTAGCCATTAGCCTGATTTTCGCACCGTGACTATCCCTCGCTTGACTTCCTGCTTTGCATCGGGCGGGGTCAGCCCACAAGTTCGAGGTCCTTTTGTTGATGTTCATGGGTCCTTGCATATAACTTCACTACGAAGGCGGACATATGTTCGAAGCAGAGGGGTGCTGTATCTTGGAGCCGCAGCCCACGGAGACCAACAGCTGCAATGAAGCCGCAAAAGCTTGGAAGCAACGGCTCGGACTTTCTCCACCCGAATGGCTGAAAAGCCGTACTGGGGGACCTGAATACACGAAAAGCATTCGCAATAGTTCCTGCTGGTTTCAACGGTTGGGGGCTTCTTTAATGCAGCCCTGCGAACTGTCAATCGCGCTAGGCTGAACCCTGAATCCAAACAGCCCTAAGCATGTCAACCCCTAATTACTTCGCAAGACCTTGATGAACCCTTGCAAGACCCTGATGGATTCCTTTTCAAAGCCCAACCAACAGCCCTAGACCAGGGGCCACACCCGGTCGGCGGAAGCCTTCCGTGGCACGAACCCATCCGCCTCCCACTAGCTCCTGGTCCTTGGCTTCGGCTTAGGGCTGTTGGGAGTTGTGGGGCTTGATTTTTCTGCAGTTGAGGCCAGGTTTCAGGTTGCTTTGTGTGGATCCCTTCCAGGGTAAGGAACTGCAGCTTTACTGATACGACGTAAATCTGCTTCCAGGGCTGGAGGGGAATGGGGTTGTTCGGCGCCGCTTTATTGGGCATACGGTAACATCTTGAAATCTTGGCTGGTCGTTTCATGCTCTGGCCGATAAGATCCTGGCACTCGAACCTGTGGCCAGGACATATCTCAATGGGAGGCCCTAACCTACGCCCTTTTTGCATCCAGGACTCTTGCAAGCAGCCTACGCCCTAAACCCTAAATGGGGTATCTCATACACCCATACTCTTGAGGTGCCCGGCTGCTTGACAATGCGGTTCTCAAGTTTCAATGTCACATCTCAATTTGGGGGTCCTTTGCGAAGAGAAGCGCACGGACTTCCCGGAAGGAGCGACGGCGAAGGCATCAGGGAAAGCACAAACGAAAGAGGTGTAGAAGAGGCGTCAACCCGAAGCGATGCTGAGATGTGTTCTTTCAAACTCGATTCGACAATGCTGGGGGCTCGGGATTCCAAGTGCCGGGCTTCTGCTGTTTCAGAGGAATCGGGCTTCTGGCGTGCTCCAGGATTCATGGATCCGGACTTTGCGTTCTGGAAGATGGGGCAGGTACTAGTTTTACAGGGGTTGCAAGGGGTTGAAAGCTCATCTCAAAACTGATGTGCACCGATATCTCCCACCCTACGTCCACCCAGCGCACATGCTACTGCGACTGATGGTATTTTTCACTTCGCCTCAGTTAACCTGAAGCAACTCCACGATGTCAACATGTCCTCGCTCGGATGCTCGGGTAATCGCTGTACCACCCAGGCGATCGAGCTTGTCTTTGTCTGCTCCTGCTTCCAGAAGCAAACGTGCGGTCTCAAGGTGACCATTTTCGCATGCGCCCATCAGCGCAGTAATGCTGTCCACACAAGGTCCAAGTGCTTCGGTGTCAGCTTTTGTCTCCAGCAGCCGGCGAACGATTTCAACGTGGCCGTGGGTAGATGCCGAAATCAACGCAGTATCCCCCCCGCTGTCGATCACGCATGCATCCGCACTCGCTTCCAGTAGCAAGCTGAACATGGCAAAATCACCACCGCGAGCGGCATGCATAAGAGCTGTCCTACAGTAGTCGTCTTCGATGTCTACATCAGCACCGGCTTTCAGCAGCAAGCGTGCCACTGTTTCTCGGCTTTCACTCGCCGCGTGAATCAGCCCTGCATCTGAATCCACAGGCCTGCCAGCTACCAGCAATTTCTCGACGACCTCAACATGGCCCTGGCTACATGCAAGGCCAAACTCCTTCCGGCTCCGGGCGCCGGCTTCCAGTAGTAGCCGAGTCACTTCAGCATGACCCCGGGCAGAAGCGTGCTCAAGAGCGGTGTTGCGCATTTGGTTGTCAGCAGCGTTGAGGTTGGCCCTGCACTCCAAGAGGAAGCGCACGACCTCAACCTGGCCCTGCGAAGCTGAATAAATCAAAGCCGTTCTCCCGTAGTATGACTGTCTCAAGTCCTTGTCGGCACGGGCTTCGATCAGCAAGCGCAAAGTCTGCAGCTGCCTGGATCTTTCAAGGATAGTTAAAGCATCTGCCTGCAGGCTAAAGGCCGTCCAATTGCTACGTCTAAAAAAGCCACCTGCTATGATTACACAGACCGACTTGTTAAGGGAAATCTGGATGCCCTTGTCCGGCAGAAGAAACAAGCTCTTCAGCCACTTTGGCCGACTTTGACAACTCATCTGAAAGCGGAGTCCTTGGCTGTTACTACATATCAGGCTGGCATCTCCGCATACACCTACGAAAACATGACTCTGGCTATTTCTTGGGTCCTGAACCGAAAACCAAAAATCCAGACCCAAGAGACAAGATCAGCTGCAAATCCGAAGGAAAGCGCACGCGGCAGTGCGGCTCTAAGCTGCACCCGTCGAGCACCAGCGTCTGCGTGTGTACTGGGAAGCCATACATGCTTCGCAAGAGAGTCTTCAACGTGTGGATGTCGTCATTCCACATATCCTTCTTTTCTATCGCGACCAGCTCCTCTCCCGAAATCTTCCAAACACGGAGCATACCAGCACGCACTCCGGCTGGAAGTTGAAAAGCCAAGCTAAAAGGCTTGAATGGCCGACCCTGTCACTACATACTCGTGCCTGGAAGCTTGCTGAACGCAGTCAGCCTGCGTGCTCATGTTGCATGAACTTCCTTGAGGTGTCCTCTCTGCAACTTCTATGCACAAAAATAGATACTCTATATATATATATATATGTATACACACATACGTATGTAATTCAAGGTATACATGTGTGTGTGGAATAGATGTATGCGGCTGTTCTACGTTTTCTACAGTGTAGAAGAATCCTGCCTCCATGCGATTTGGGTTGGGCGAAGCTGGATGCTACTGTGCAGCATCTTGCAAAATCATTTCGGTATCGCACCGTCTTGCATCAAATCCTCACGGACGGTACTTTCTGTTGATGTACTAGACCGGAATGACACGTCAGAATGCATGCAAAACCCTCGTCTGTACGTCCTGGCCAGTAACTCAAACCGAACCGTGATCCTTGCGGTTTGGACGCTTATAGCGTCAAGACTTGGCTTTGATTTCATGTCACAGCCCTGCGCACTAAGGAGTCCGCAGCCAGTGTAGGTCCTATACGCCTGTGATACGACAGACTACTATATCAAAGTCGTACTGGAATCATTAAGGACGCCGGAATACTAAAGCCTGCCGAACCATGTAACAGCCTTTGCAATGACCATCTGAAGATTCTGTTCTCTATATTAAATTCGCAGACCCCAGGCTCCTCTACGCCTCCTCTTAGCACGAGAGAAAAGGGCATGTGTATGTCTCACACCGGCAGCATATCAAGCAGGATCATCAAACATGAGAGAGGCCCGCGCAAAACCACGGAGGTGTGAAGCTGCCAGCAACAAGAGGGCAGAACTCCGATGAACTTGGCAGAAGGCCGTCAGCCAAACGTTGGAACCAAACAACTCGACTTAGAAACATCCTGGTGATTGTCGGAAGCAGCATCTGAAATCTCTGAAACCCTATACCGGCATTGGGCCGTACCTACACCTCCCTCGCACATCACCACACCAACAGAAGCCAGTCGGCAGAAAAGCCTAACATAATCTCAAGCCTGGAACCCCAAACCCTGAATCAGCGGATCCACCCTAAATCGTAGACCCAACCCTAAACCCTAAACCCGAACACCCGAAGACACTAGGGATCCCCGACAGAACCCTTTCACAACTAAGTCTTCTACTCTGGGAGCCTTGCGATCATGAAGCGCAGGGCAAAGGGGATGTTCGTCTCGTAGGACCTCGGGCGGCCTAAAATAGCGGCCTTAATCTTTAAACTAGGCAACTCTCTAGCACATTGTTAAGGAACCGTGGGGAAGAGTATTGGCAAATATTCAGGCTGCTGAATCGCGTGCTTGGAGTGCGAGTTATCCGTCTCATTGTTGAGTTGAAGGGACTCGCAGGGGCACAGGCGGCAGAGGCTTTGTGACTTCAGGGAGTTTCGAGAGCTTGGTGAGCTTGTCGGGAGTTTGTCGGGTCTGGGGATTTAGCGCGTTTTGGGTTGAGGACCCTTCTAGGCCCAACTGTCTGGAATCCTACCTCTCCCCCACAATGGCTGCACGGTCGGATTCCATATCGTGAGGTACTTGGGCTGTAGGTGGGCCACTCTGAAATCTAAAGATGCGTCAGGTGCCCTGAAACTGTTGCCGTGTAGGGTCTTGGAAGTTTAAGGGGTTTTTGCCTTCCACCTAGCTATAAGTTTAAGGGCTTTGGGATTTAGCGTACAAGTAGGGTCTGCAGGATTCTTGGTGGCTAGGGGGCCTTATAACACTGCCCGCTCGCCTTACTTCCTGTTCGGGGTGCTGCCTGAACCCTCTCCACCAATACCTGGAGCTCATACCAGGATCCACTCATCCGCGTGAAGAGTCGAGTCTATGCCCGAGACCCAAATAGAAATCCGAAGCCCAAAACCAATGGATCCCAAACACCAAATCTGAAAACCCTACACCCAAACATCCCCAAACCTTAATCACCCTGTACCCACAACGGCATGCTGTGCTCCAAGATCTCTGCGTGCTCGGCGCGAAATAGCCCTTCTCGAGTCGGAATCCGGCCTCGTCATGGTTTGGAGCTTCTTTGTTCTTTGCGTTGGGTGCTTGAGGGTTTTGAATGTACGAGCTGTGAAAAAACTCAGTGCTTTAGGATTCTAGGGTTTGGGATTATATAGGTGTTTGGGCAAGGCTGGTCTATGGCTTAAGGATTTAGGGCGCAAGTGTTTGAGGTATGGGCGGGTTAATGACCATTAACCTAAACCTAAACCCTGAGCCCTACATGGCCCTACACCCTAAACCCGGTTCATAGCCCCTGACCCCTAGACAAACATCCTAAAGAGGCTTAAAGGTCAAGCTCTAGGCTCGAAGTAGTACGGGCGCGGGGCTTCGATTCAGGCCGCGTCAGGAGCTGTAAGATTCGGCGTTTTCAAGGAAACCCCGGCAAAACCCTCAACCCCTAAAGCCCTAAACCTTAAACCCTGAGTTGAGTGGCTCTATTTTCGGTGGAGGCTCTGAACCCGAAGCCCTGACTCCTAGGGTTCAGATTAGCATGATAGCCCAACTGTGCGTTTTGGAAAGCCAAGCAGCCGTTTACGGTCCTCAAGCCCAAGGTTTAGGTCAAATCGTGTCGGGTTTGGGGCTCAAGAAACCATCAGTTCTGGGGAGCTTTCTACTGTGGTCAGCGTTGCACTTTAAGAAAGAACATCCAGAAACTCAGCTGTTGCCCGTAGACCGACAGAATGTAGGATTCATCTGTTGGTTAAAGGTTTCAGGACTTGAAGGCTAGAGTTTGAAGGCGTGTTGTGCTGCATACTATGCAGGCATCAGGGCTCATAGCTGCGAAGTACACTCGCCGCTCTTGTCGATCTCACGTAGAACAAGACGCTCCAGCACCATCCGCATTTTCTTCTGCAACAGCGGCCCTAGCACTCTCAAAACCTGAGAACCCTATTGGCATGTTTCGGAAAAGAGCACTGAACCCAGTATGGGAAATGACAGCTGCTCATATACACAGCGACCACAAAGAGTTCGGAGTTTGGAGTTTTTGCAGGCCCGTCTCTGATGAATGGCATCCCGAGAAAGTTTGAGGTTCAGGGTTCCACGTTTAAGGCATGAGACGCGGCAAGTTGCCGGTAACCCTCCACTGAAGATGCAGCCTCCTACGAAAATCTTGAAGGGGTCTCCACTTCCCACGCCTGCCTCGATCAGTCTGCGACTCGTCGCGACGAGACTCGGCACTGCTACCACGACGCGCCTTGTGATGAGATTTTGTCTAGGTTGAATGGGCACGGCGGTGCTGTGCACTAAGCCGCCTGTTGAACACAAGAGCACAGATGACTAGTGACACCAGTCAAACTGAAAATCTTCAGTCAGCCTAGATGGCCTAGACTGGTGCACCCGATAGGTACCCAAAGTCCCGAGCCTAGATGTGTGTGACAAAGTGGCTGTTGACGGCATGTTGCACATTGACCTCCTATCATGACACGGTTGAGCAGAGTGCAAGGGTCTAGTGTTGGTTTCAAAGCTTGTAGTGCCACTGCCCCATGATGGGAACCTGCACGATGTCAACGGGACAAAGTAGAATTTAGCAACAGAAACTGAACAAATAAATGCAAATAAAAAAACACGTCTCCATGTCCCTCTCTATCTATACACACACACATACATATATATATATATACATATACGTATACATACCTATATATCTATATATCTATATATCTATGTATCTATATATCTATATATGTGTATGTCTATTTATCTGTTTATCTATATATCTGTATATGTGTATATCTATATATCTATATATCTATATATCTATTTATCTATATATCTATATGTCTGTATATCTATATACCTATAAATCTATTATATATCTATATATCTAAATATCTATATCTGTATATATATATCTATATATATATCTATATCTGTATATATATATATATCTATATATATCTATATTTCTATATATCTATATATCT